AGTTCTATCAGTGGGATCAGTGAGCTCTTTTGTTTCAGGAAACTTTTGGTATCTAGACAGTTTACGAACTTCCTGCCAATAATTATTCCCTTACATGTATTGATGTTCTGTATTGCTGTGTTGAGCTCTTAAAACTTTTTTTTCAGTTCAGGAATCTCGCAAGCTCTAAAGTCTCGGTACAGCCGTCTCTTATCTTTGATTAGGCGGATAATGAATGGTGGTAACGGAAAGGTGTAATATTCACAAATTTTAGGTGGGCTCGCTTCGTCTACCGATTTCTTAAGTTTTTTCATTAAACTTTGATATCACCTCCGGTGTAATTACAGAATCTGCTCTTATGAAGTCTTTCATTACTGAGTTGACTCAATCGAATAATTCGATAGTTTTTATTCGATAGTGCCCATCACTATCATCAATTACTATCATTTTAATTAAACTTTGATCTATTTGATCATTTTCAATTTGCGACAACTCGGTTTTTTTATTCGTAACACATAGTTTCATTTTTCGACTTCGTTTTTTGCAATTAATGGAGTCTATTGTAGATGTGGATTTACTGCTTTGTTCTTGAAGTTGAGACTGCATTAATGTGGATGGTAGTTGCTGATCTTGAGTTGATGTTGACGGCTCATTATTATGTCGATCTCCGAATTGTTGGAATTCATCTTGTTTATTTAATTTATCTATTTCAAAATACCCAGGGTGTTTGCGCCTTAAATGGTCGCGGATGTTGGATGTGTTACCACTAAATTTGAATTGTTTTTTCAAATTTCGCAAGTTACTGCACTAACTGAATCTTTTTTAAAATAATCCCATACAGCTGACCGTTTCTTACTAGAAGCCATTTTTATAAAACAAATAGTACAACTTCACTACAATAACAAACAACGAGTCCATACACGATATTCACACGCGAGAACTACAATCCAAGGTTTCGGTAATTCCCCGATTTTTGTCTATTAAAAGTCAAGCAGTGGGGAGAGCACTTGTTATGCCGGGTTTCTACAGAGGATATAACTAAATTAAATTTAAGAATTTAACTTTAAAAGTTAAGCGTATTGAAACGTCATATATTGTGTATGCAAAGCTGTTAAGATATAACAGTTTCATTAGATTTAACTTTTAAAACTAAATCTTAAAATTTTAAATTTACAGCTAAATTCTGTATAAACCCGGTATACCTAACCTATATTGCGCATTATTTGATATCCTCAATCCTCACAGAATTCGAATGAATGAATTTATTCGAATAAATCATTCGATAGTTCGAATCATTCATTTACTATTTATTCGATAGTCAGATTCATTCGATAGTGCCCATCACTAGAAATATCACCAATTATTAATTAAAGTATCCTCTTTTTAATGAAACAAGCCGTTTTGAAAAGTCGCTTTTAGTTTTTGAAAAATGAATTTTTGAAATGATCGAAAATATTTTTGAATTTTGCAATTTTCGCCGATTAAATTTCGTATAAAATCCATTTCTTCGAATATGAGTATGAAAACTTCCCAAAGTGTTAATAAAAGTGTCTTCTTTCCAATGAACCAATCCGTTTTGAAAAATAACTTTTAGATTTTGATAAAACAATATTTGAAGTTTTGATAAAATGTTTGATGTTGCAATTTTCATCGATAATTTTCAAAATTCGCTATAAAATTAATTTCTTGAAGAATCCTTGTGAAATTATTAATTAAAGTATCACCTTTTTAATGCAACAAGCCGTTTTGAAAAATCACTTTCAGTTTTAGAAAAATAAATTTTTGAAATGATCGACAATTTTTTCGAATTTTGCAATTTTCGCCGATTAAGATTTAAAAATTCGTATAAAATCCATTTCTTGGATTATGAGTATGAAAATTTCCCAAAGTGTTAATAAGAGTGTCCTCTTTTCAATGAACCAACACGTTTTGAAAAATAACTGTTAGTTTTTGAGAAAACAATATTTGAAGTTTTGAGAAAATGACTATTCAAAGTAAAGATATTTTTCAGCATTTTCTTAAATATTTTCAATATGGTTTGTCTTAGAAAGACTAAATTTGGTACAATGTTATCATAAAAAATCGTTTAAAATCACTTTTGAGAATATCTCATGGGATTAATGCTATATAGGCTGATTATTTATTTCTAACTGGTTAACAACAAAATCTTGCTTTAAGTTTCAATAAACTTTATTATCAAACTTAACTTAATATATTATATAAATTGTGATTAGGGATGTTCAGTGTTAAATTATAAAAACATCTAGTTCTTACAAAACATTTTATTGAAAATAATCTTTGTTATGACAAGATTAACAACTTTAACTAAACATTATCATATAATGTTTTCATTCAATTGATTCGTTGATTATGTAAATCGGTTGCCTTAATAATAAAATATCTTTGATTACTTTAGGAATATTCATCCGCATAATAACATTAAATGCTTTATAATTCACGCCGTTTTCACGTTGATGTTCATCAAAAATAGTTTTTCTATAACAATCTCGAGCTATTTGTTTTAAACTAGGAACACACCCATCTTCACTAAAGTAACGATTATTTATTATGCCTTCGTCGTTGTTTCTTTTATTGAAAATTAACGTCTTTATGAAGGGTTGACAATCGTATTCGTAACCAATAGGCACTTCCGATGATAAAATTGCTTCGATTTCATTGCAAAATCCTTTTTTGTTATGAAATATTTCTATATCTTTTAAGGTTACTGGAAATCCTTTACTCAACAGTAACCAAACCCATTTTAGGCTTTCGGCGGATTGACTAAACCACGTGTATAGTGACATGTATGATAATGCAGCACCGTTAAAATCTTTGTCTATTATCTCATCTGATGCCTCCTCTATTTTAATTTTATCGATGTACTCGAAAACGCGTTCAGGAGCCGAATTAATTAGGCCACCAATAAAAATTGTCGACAATGTGGAAGTGAATACTGATTTATAATTTAATTCATCGACATAATCAAATAATATATCCGCTACTTTATAGTTCCAGTACTTCACAGCAATCATAAACGGAAATTCCCCTGATTTATCAATTTCATTTACGGACGCATTGTAATATAACATCATGCATATAAGTTCCTTGCGAGAATTACAACCATATTTGGAAACAATATAGTGAAGAGGAGCTTTTCCATCTCTATCCTTAGCATTAACATCCGCTCCATTTTCAATTAGAAAACGACTGAGTTTGAGATTATTACAGGAAAGATGTAGGGGTGTTTCTTCGTTGCAATTCATAGCGTTCACATCTGCTCCATTTTCCAGCAGGAGTCGCATCATTTCAATATTTTCAGTTGTAGCGATTAAGTGTAAAGGTGTTTCTGACAAACAGTTGCTAGCGTTAACATCCGCGCCATTTTCAAGCAACATTCGACTAAATTTAAGATTGTTATTCGCGATAGCAATGTGTAAGGGTGTTTCCTCCCAATTATCCTTATCGTTAACGTCCGCCCCATTTTCAATTAACATTTTACTGAATTCAAAATTATTGTTTATAGTGCCAAGATGTAATGGCGTTTGTTGGCATTTGTTTTTAGTGTTAACATACGTTCCACTTATGATTAATAGTTGACCCCATTGTAAGTTTGAATCGATAGCAGCAAGATGTAGAGATGTTTCCACATGAAAAGGATTATTCCTGTTTTTATTCATTTGTGTTAACGGGAAACAAGCAGCGCAATCAGTTTGCACACAATGTTTCCAATGTTTTAATATTTGCTTTGCAGAGGTACAGTGAGGTATCGGGCATTTTTGTACTAGACATGAAACCATATGATTTAATAATGTTTTCATCGTTTCACAATCAGATAGTACAATGGGGCATAGTTCTACGTCAATTGCTCCCTCAAATTCTCGGTTTTGGCAAATAAGACTATGCAACATTAACATGAATTGTTGTTGAACTAATTTTCGGTCATCAAGATCTAAATATAAAATAAAATAAGCAAAAATTAAAAAATGTACACACGCGCGGACAATTAGTCTGAAGACGCACGGCTAAACCCGAAACTTTGTAGTTCTAGGTCTAGTTTTTTCGCAATAATTTTTCGCAGAGAGTTGATGGATGATTTTCTATATAAATAAAAGCTAAATGTTTATACCTCTCTGGCCACCTCCTTGAAATTGTGCATCAAAAGAAGTTGACTGCCATCTGCTGGGCGATTCTGATTGACCAATTCCAACTGCACCAATCTGCATCGAACGTGCCTATTAGATTCATCAATATTATGTGTTGCAATGTATTAAGAGATCGGTTCAAAGGAATAATTAAATAATGTAAAATAGTCACAATTAGGGATTTGCAGAAATATAATATTTACCTACTCACACTAGGGTTTATTTGGGTGGCGCGGTAGGTACAGGTGTACTGAGCAAAGAAGTTAGAACTGGAATCTTCGCGTTTTGATTGGCACAAAGGGTGGGGTGGTGCACTGGCTGGGCGTATCACCTCAAGGTCATCAGTCACTAGTGTCAGTACTTAAACTCAGTAGTGAGTGACCGGATCTACTGCGGATCTACAGGGTCAATATGGGACTTATTCACAGTTAAAGACTGCAGTAAGGAGTACTTTGCAAACGTCAATAAAATGACGATACACATTTTTAACCAATGTGTTAAGTGCCCAGTGGAAACTAAAAGGCGTATTCAACCAAAATTTCGCAACGAATTACGTCGAAAAAAAAAGACAGTCAGCGTCCATGTTCTATTATAATTAAATTTATTAGTTATAAAATCCGAAATGCTGCAATAAAAGCAAGAACCAAATTTAAAAACTCAAAAATATCTCTACAAGCAGATTTGACTGCTTTTACATATTATTTCACAGCTGCTAGGGAGAAGTACATATAACTACAGGAACTGCTTGACAAGATGGGAAAATTTATGCTAAAGTGAATGGTTCAATCATATCAATAAAAAATTGTAATAATGAGAAAGGGGGAGGCTAAAGGAGGGCCCTAAAAAAGGCTTCAAGGACGCGCTACATTAAAAGCGTTCGTCACAGAAAACGAGAAACGTGGAGGAAATTTTGTGAGGAAGTTTCCTCATGCAGCGAAGTTTCTCGGTTAAATCGGGTTCTGGCTTCAGACCCTGAACGACGAATTGGCTTACTAAAAAAGGCTGACGGTTCTTATACCGACAACCTTTTGGAAAGTCTTCATTTATTAATGGAGGTGCATTTTTCAGGTTCCGGAAGTTCCGTACAAATACAACAGGACACCAACCATGAACCTACTGCAGATGATTGGATTTCAGCCGAAGAGATCTGCAGGGAGGATAAAATACGGTGGGCCATCAACAGTTTCTCGCCGTTCAAGACACCAGGACCAGATGGTATTATACCAGCCCTTTTACAATGGGGTCTGGAGGATTTAGTACCTCACCTGGTGGAAATCTTCCAAGCATGCCTGGCGCTGCGCTATATACCCAGTCGATGGCGTGAGGTCACAGTGAACTTCATACCAAAACCGGGTAAGCTTGATTATTTCACACCGAAATCGTTTAGACCAATCAGTCTCTCCTCCTTTCTTTTGAAAACTCTGGAGAGACTGTGTGATCGCTATATTAGAGATTTCTGTCTTCCAACTAAACCAGTAAATCCTAATCAACACGCTTACACTCAGGGCAAGTCCACACTAACGGCTCTTCACTCAGTGACCAGCTTTGTTGGTGGGGCGCTGGACCTAAAGGAGTCCGCCCTGGGGGTTTTCGTAGATATAGAGGGAGCTTTTGATAAAACAACTTTCTCTGGTATTAACGATGCCTTGTTAGAGCATAATGTTCCACCGACTCTTTGTGGTTGGATTGAGAACACTCTTAAACATAGGATAGTTAAGCTTAGGGCTGGCGATGTCAGTCTTCAAGGAGGAGTTACTCGAGGCTGTCCACAAGGGGGTGTACTATCCCCACTTTTGTGGAACCTCACCCTGGATAGCCTCTTGAACCGCCTCGCCGAAGCCAACTTTATCACAGTTGGTTACGCAGATGATTTAACCATTCTCGTCAAAGGCAAGTATATAAACGTGCTGTTTGACAGGATGCAAGTAGCTCTCAAACTGATAGAGACTTGGTGTGACGAACAAAGACTCTCTGTGAATCCTAAGAAGACAGAGTTGATTCTTTTCACACGGATGAGGAAGGTTGGCAATCCCAGAATGCCATCCCTTGCTGATACTCCATTGGTATTGTCAAAAGAAGTTAAATATCTGGGCATCACACTTGACAATAAAATGACATGGAGAGCCCACCTAGATAATAGAGTAAAAAAAGCGTACGTTGCATTCGGTCAATGCCGGAGGGCTATAGGTAAGACATGGGGTTTGTCACCCAGAAATGCCCTCTGGATTTACACGGCTGTAATCCGACCTATGCTTACTTATGGTGCAGTAGTATGGTGGTCAAAGACCCTACAGTCTACATCCACTACTGCACTTAATAAAGTACAGAGACTTGCGTGTTTGTATGTTACAGGTGCGCTGCGGACTACCCCCACTGCAGCCATGGAAAACATGTTAAACCTAACGCCACTTCATTTGTTCATCCAAGAGGTGGCATTGGTGACCATGACTCGACTGCGAGCAGCAGGAATTCTAATGGGTGAGAGAAATAGTAAAAATGCCAATCTCTGGAATGAAATGGTGGATTACTCACCAATTCTGGAGTGTGTAACGGACTTTACACCCCTACAACACATTTTTACGAAGAAATATCTCACCCACCCAAGCTCCACAGAAGTAGAGGTAAAAAACAGCCTTAAAATCTACACTGATGGTTCAAAGAGACGGGAAGGAGCTGGAGCCGGAGTCTTCTCGTACGATCTCCGACTCCACGTATCTGAACCTTTAGGTATAAGTACCACCGTCATACAGGCGGAGTTAATCGCCATACAACTTGCCGCTGACGTTATTGTCAGATCCAACTTGGTAGGTAAGACTTTTACAATTTATACTGACAGTAGACAAGCTATTTTAGCCCTGAGTAGAATAACAATTACCTCAGGACTTGTTATGGGTTGTCATCTGACATTGGAGAAGGCCGCAGTGCATAACTGTGTCATACTTCAATGGATAAAAGGACACTCGACTTGTTCAGGTAACAAGCACGCTGATAGGCTTGCCAAAAGGGCTGCCAAGCGAGCGCCATGTTCGCCTGAACCGATAATCGCTCCGTCCTTATCAACTCAGATTGAGATAATTAAAGATTTTACCCACAAAAAGTTCATGAACTGGTGGGATAGGGTTAAGGGTTGCCATCTGTCTAAGGAAGTATTACATTATCCTTCAGCAGAGGCAGCCTTGTCTTTCGTAAGGCTCTACGAACTGTAACGGGACTCGTCACGGGTCACTGTAAGGTAAACAAGCATCTTTATAACCTTAAGCTTGCTGTTAGTCCTCTCTGTCGCCTCTGTAAAGAGAGCGAGGAGACGGTCCGACACATCTTGTGTGAATGCCCCACTCTGCAAGACCTCAGAATGAGAGACTTCGGAGAGGAATGGCCGACCACAGATGGCATCAGGAACACACCTCTGAGCTGTATCCTAGCCTTCGGAAATTCCTTAGGCTGGTTGATGTAGCCGGAGACAGTGTAGGAGGATGTACAAGGGGCCCGTTGGGGCCTAGGTGCTGTGTGCGTAGCATACCCTCCGCTTTCCTACATACATACATACAAGGGGGAGGCTAATACGTTTTCAAATGTTTACATTTTAATATCTCCTGAACCATTCAACCGATTTGAATATTTTTGGACTTGTTTAGAAGAGCATTTTATGTTCTTTTAAAAGATATTTTTAGTTAGACCGTTTGGTTTAAAACAAATAAGCTAAAGGGCGTTATCTGCAGCGATTACATATTTTTGTCACCATAAAATTTGCTAAATATTAGTGAAAACCGCATCTCGATATCTCCATCCATTCTCAAATTATAGAAGAAAATGTTAAAAATTCGTATATTTTAATCGGATCAAGTTACCTTAGCAAACAAATAAGAGAGCAGAAAAATGTTATTACCTAGAACCTTTCTTTACACTTTATTCAAGCTTAGAACTGGTTCAAAACTACTTTTGAGGCGTGTTTAAAAGCCAACGAACAATGAAACAGCAACAATGATAATAACACAAAATAAACCAAAATACTTAGAATTACTTCAATTTTTGGCAAAAATAGCTGACAAATGTTCAAAATGCCTTCCATAAACCTCGATGCAGTTATTTATTCTAGTTTCGACGAAAAATAAAACGCTGTTCAAGTCTCATCCCTGGATACGTTTCTAATGGCATTTAGTCTTTTGTCATATTTTCCCTGGTTATTGGTTAATCTTGAAAAGTCTGGTCGTTTAGTCTACCCCATAGATAAAGGGGTGAAAGCAATGTGGGTTTTGCTCGAACCAAGAATGCATATTATGCAAGTTTACAGCAGCTTGTGGACATATGCCTCATGCATCCATAGCATTTGTGACAAAAGGTTTGGATTTGCCCAAATCATATTTAACAGTCAATGGTAATAACGCCCTCTAGCTTATTTGTTTCAAACCAAACAGTCTTACTGAAAATATCTTTTAAAAGAGCATAAAATGCTCTTTCAAACAAGACCAAAAA